AGTCCCAAAGAATACCAAGTTTAATCGGTAATCTAGGAGAAACCTGCATCAGGTAACCTAGGCATCAACTAGGATGTCTGGGGGTGTACCCAGGTATAACTCCATTTAAGAAGTGACAGTGAATTCTAGAAGACAGCCTTCTACTTAGGTTATCATTGGATTATTTTTTGAGGTTAAAAAATTAATTTAGTGTGAAGACATGAAACATTTCATGTGACATCAAAAAGTAAAATCACCTTCTCATGCACAAAACTTACCTTCCAAAGACTTGTGCCAAGTCCCTGTCATCAAACATTTATGAACATAATGGAAGATAGTAGGGTCTTGTCAACTTGGACAAACAGCAACAAACAAACGATGAAATACGACTATTCATGTGAGCTCTACAGAATGTCTACATACTCCACATTCCCGGCCGGAGTTCCCATCTCAGAAAGGAGTCTTGCCCGAGCTGGTTTTTACTACACCGGTGTTAACGACAAGGTCAAATGCTTCTGTTGTGGTCTGATGCTGGATAACTGGAAACCAGGAGACAATGCCATTGAAAAGCACAAGCAGCTGTATCCTAGCTGTAGCTTCGTTCAGAATCTAAGTTCAGTCACTAATCTGGGATCCACCTCTAAGAACACTTCTCCAGTAAGAAACAGTTTTGCACATTCATTATCCACTTTGGGACATAGTGGCTCATTTAGTGGTTCCGACACCAACCTTTCACCAAACCCTCTTAATTCCAGAGCCGTGGAAGACAGCTTCCCATTGAGGACTAATCCCTGCAGTTACGCCATGAGTACTGAAGAAGCCAGGTTCCTTTCTTACAAGATGTGGCCATTAACCTTTTTGTCACCATCAGATTTGGCAAGAGCTGGCTTCTATTATATAGGACCTAGAGATCGGGTGGCCTGCTTTGCCTGTGGTGGGAAACTGAGTAACTGGGAACCAAAGGATGATGCTATGTTGGAACACCGGAGACATTTTCCCAATTGTCCATTTTTGGAAAATTCTTTAGAACCGTTGAGGTTCAGCATTTCAAATCTGAGCATGCAGACACATGCAGCTCGACTGAGAACATTTATGTACTGGCCACCTAGTGTTCCGGTTCAGCCCCAGCAACTTGCAAGTGCTGGTTTTTATTATGTGGGTAAGAAAGACACTCTTAGCTATCAACTTACCTCATCCATTTTGATCTATGTGCCAGAGCCTGTGGGTATTCAGTTCTGGTCTTTATTTAGGTCGCAACGATGATGTCAAATGCTTTTGCTGTGATGGCGGACTGCGGTGCTGGGAAACCGGAGATGATCCGTGGGTGGAGCACGCCAAGTGGTTTCCAAGGTGATTGTTTTATAATGGTCTGCGGTGTGGAGTTGGGCATGCCACAGGATGGAAGTTGGCATTTCAATGATGACAAGCCCTTCTACCTACCTTTGTGACTTATTTATCATTATGGCCATCCAGTTCATTTATGTATTTCCCATATTGCTCTAAGGAGCCTAGGTAGTGCAGATGTTTTGCAGTCAGCTGCTAATCGAAGGATTGGCAGTTCAAACCCACCCAGTGGCTTCATGGAAGAGACCCCTGGTGAAAGGCTTCCATAAAGAGCACATGTAAGAAAACCACGAGTTAGCAGGAGCGGGTTTCTTAATTTTGTGTGTGGCCATTTTGCTCTAAAGACACATGAAGGATTCCAAAGATGTAAACTAGGACACGATGAACCTAAATTAGGAAGAAGGGCACAGGAAACGTGAGAAGCGCTAGAAAGTCTATTTAGGAATGAAGTCAATGTCAAGTCTTCCTTGACTGCTGGATTTGATCACTTAATATGTTTGCAGTTTTCTTTTCTGTAATAGGTCACTGGTCACCCTTTTGTCTCTGGTGCTGCCTGCTTTCTCCCATAATCTAGAAATAAATGTGTTTGTTGATGGAAGTAAAATTGGAGATTTCATCTCTGCTATTAAGAGCTATGTGAACTTGGGGCAAGTCACGTGACCCCTTTGAGCTTCTTTCCTCATTTGAAAAATTAGGGGCTGGGTTAATTAAGGCTTTGAGCCAAATATCTTTATCAAGAACCATAGTAAGAACTCAAAGCACTGAGCTATGAGAGTACTGACTATACTGGAAAAACAGCTCTTTTCATGTCTCAATTTTAGTCTCTCAATTTGTGACTTTTGTGTTCGTTTTTCTAACAGTTTTCATTTGAAAGGTTTTTGATTATGTCTGTTAATCAATTTTATTTTTGTACATGCAAAAGTTAATATTTTTATTAGATGATCAGTCCCTCAAGAAGTCATGCCAGATGTCTTCTCACTAGTTGATTTGAAAGGGCCAATATGACCTCAGTCACCGTATAAAATTACCACATCCCACATTAAGCATTTATTTATTTGGCTGTAGAAAACATTTATTTATTCCAATAAATTATATGTTTATGGATTGAGCTTTTGATATCTAAGAAATCTTTTCTTGACAAAAAAAAAATCTTTTTCTCCTGTTTTTTTCTTGAAGTTTTATGGTTTGGGGTTTGACATTTAGGTATATCATGCATATTCAGATAATCATGAATATATTGTGGATGTAGCTAGCCGGTCATTCCACCCCGCTTGCTAAGGAGTGGAATGGGAAGAGGGACTTTGTGAGCTCCCTGTGACACCTTCGAGAAGGCCCGGTAGCTAGAAAACAACTGTGAGGACTTCACTCTGTGGATGGGTGAAAATATTTGAGAGCAACCTGGCGAAGTGCATTACATTGTAAAACTTGGGACTACCAATTTACAGTGCCTGAAACAGTTAGGTCACAAAAAAGTACATCATCTTTAACAGTGTTTTTCATGCCTCGGTTTATGACCCTTTGTGGGTCCAGCATTCGGATCGATAGGATACAATTTATATAGGAAGAGTCTGTATGGTTTTATGGGAATTCTGCTTTTATCAGCTATACCTGTGTACGAGGTTGTATAAAATGTAGTTTTTACTCTGGAGCACAATGAAAAAACACGTCTCAAAAACAATTTTCTAGAATGATCAGATTATATTTTATATAAAACAGTTGTTTTCTACTTACATTTTAGGTGTGAGTTCTTGATACGCATGAAAGGGCAAGAGTTTGTTGATGAGATTCAAGGTAGATATCCTCATCTTCTCGAACAGGTAAATAAATTATAATTGGTAACAGTCGGTTCTCCTATTGGTAGTTATTACAAAAAATCTAAGTGATATTTATATCTGTCTTCTAATTAAAGTATGTACTTTTCTATGCATAATTATGACATTTAAAATTTTTATACCTAACTTGTTTTTTAGCTAAAAAAAAAAAGTTCTGTGTTTTTTGAAAGAAAAATGCCCAACCCTGCCACTCTAGCAACGTACAGCAGGGTTCGAGAAGCATCCTTTGTTTCCTGGCATCTTTCTTAGGAAAGACAAAGCAAATAACTTGTGAGGAATTACAAACCTCTGAGATAACCTAGTTAAAACCCGACTTTATTAATTGAGTAAAAATATTTTTTCCGACTTTCCTGGAACTGCAGAAACTCTGGAATTCTAACTTAAAAAGAGGTTAAGTTTGGGGAAATCGATGGGATAATTAGATACACGGCAACGTGAAGTTTGTAAGCTGCTCACTTCCCAAAGGCATCTGGGCATTCAGTTAGGGTAATTGACCATGCTGTTACTCTGGTCAGGTGTGCTGGAGATTTCTGAGTTTGCCTGTTAACTTTTCTTCTGTCTCTTAGCTGTTGTCAACGTCAGACCCTCCCGGAGATGAAATTGCTGATCCACCAAGTATGTATGAAAATATTTCAAGTACAAAATAAGAATTGTTATGAGGTGAGAATGTAAAGAAAATGTTTCTGAGGCCACAGTTAAAACTCTGAAGTTCACAATCAGGTTACGTACATATCTCCTAGGTTGGGAGCCTTGATGGCTTGTTGTTAATCACTCAACTGCTACCCGAAAGGTCCATGGTTCGACCCACCCACTGCTCTGTGGGAGAAAAATGAGGCAGTCTGCTTCCAGAAAGATTACAGCCTTAGAAACCCCAGCGGGCATTTCTGCACTGTCCTTCAGGGTCCCTGTGGGTTGGAATCAACTTGACACCCCTCGATAACAACAAAAGGTATCCACTAAGAGCCATGGCATTTTAGAGGATTCTAGGACATGTCAGCAGACGTCTGGTGGTGCCATGATTAAGCTCCTGGCTGCTCAGAGGTAGGTGGTTCGAACCCACCAGCTGTACCGTGCGAGAAAGATGGGCCAGTCTGCTTCCATTAAGATTTACTGCTTTGGAAACACTGTGGGGCAGTTCTCTGTCCTGAAGAGTTGCGGTGAGTCAAAACTGGCTTTGCAGCAGCAGATCTGGTGAAGGGAGTAAGGGCGCTAGTCTTTGTTCTGTAGGTGTGAGCATTGAAGTTGGCGCGAGAAGACATGTGCAAAAGAAAAACAACAGCAGCGCGGTCAAAGCAATGTCAAGTGTGTGGTCCAAATAGTAAGCAGCGGTTCTCATCCTGTGGGTCTCGACCCCTTTGGGTGTCGAACAACCCTCATAATAGTAGCAAAATTACAGTGATGAAATAGCAACGAAAATCATGTTATGGTTGGGGGGGGTCACCACAAACTGAGGAACTGTATTAAAAGGTCGTGGCATTAGGAAGCTTGAGAACCACTGCTCTAAGGAGTAATAGGTTGCTGTAAGCTATCATGATTTGGAAAAGTTAGTTACATGTGATTTAAGAATTGGGCCTGATGATAGATATATTATTTGGTGGAGCCTGTGTGACACAAGCAGTTTGAAGTCTAAGGTTGCTAACCTAAGGTTGACAGTTCAAACCCACCCAAGCCACTCTGAGGAAGAATGCAAGGAGTATAGCCAAGAAAACCCTTTGGAGGAGCTCTACTATTATTACACATGGGGTCACCATGAATCGGGGTCCAACTTGGTGGATATTAACAACAACATAGTATTTTGGTTTAGGAATTAGTGTCTTTACTGGTTATAACTTAATTTTAGTCACACTTGCTATTAATTAATGTGTATAATGAGTGTATGTTATGATGTCCAAAATAATGATAATTTTCTACTAACCATATCTAGAAAGGTGTCTTAATCTTGGCATTCCATTTAAGAGGGAGATGGGCAGATTCTTGGCCGAACCAGAAATGGGCGACCATGATGTGAAAGATGCTAGAAACCATCGCTAAGGAGGAGTGGTTGAAGAATGTGGTAGTGTTTGAGCTAGTGCAGAAAAGCGTTACTTGATGACATGGTACCTATCTCCTGTCTAACACAGCTGGGAAAGACAGGCAGCTGGGCTGACTCTTCTTGAGATTTATGACCACACTTCTCACACGGGCACTCTGCCGCTGAATGCTGTTCTCGAATAGAACCACTTTGCCAATCTTTAAAATGATGGTCTCACATTGCCTTTCTCCCTACGCTTCTAACACCTACCCTTGCCTGATTCTCAGCTCATTACCTTGCTTCGCTGAAACAAGCAAGAGAGAATTATTTCATCTTCCTATTAGAACTACCAGTATACACGATATATCCATATACTTTGGTTTCTATTCTTTTATAAAAGATGAACACTGCTTGGTCCTATCTAAGGGCAACCCTACCAACTTGTCTTCTGGGCCCCAACTTCTGGGTCCATGTGTCCTTTGCTTTGGCAATGGTCTCCCTTTTCTTCCATACTGACTTCCTGTCTCTCATGGGTCATTCATTTCTGCACACAGACAGAAGGTGGTATCACTGATACTAAGAACATATTTGCTTAAACTCATGTCACCATCTAGATATTGTCCCAGTTCTCCACTCTTTCCAATCTCTGCTCTTTCTGCAAGATGCCTGAAAATACTTGGTCTGTGCTCACTCTGCTGACTACCTCGCCTTCTGTTCTTTCTTCAAACAGCAACAAATAGCTAGCAAGGGACACCAGTACACGGATCAGTTCCCTGTCTTCATCTTATTGGACCTGTTATATAGCATTTGGCACAGTTAAAGGCTTCCTACTGGAAACATCTCTTGGCTTCTTGGCACACGCTGATTTTCTGCTATTTCATTGGTTGATCCGGAACATTCTCCTTTGCTGGCCTTTCCATTCTCAAACCTCTAAATGTAGTTCAGGGCTACTTGGCTCTCATAGGCATCTCAGAGTCTCAGAGTTAACAGGACCAAAGGGAACAATCTCCCCGCCCTCACCTCGCAGATTAATTGCTTCTCTAGCCTTCTTCATCTCAGTTAATGGTACATATTTGCTGACGTCAAAAAGCTGGCTCAAGGGACAACATCCTGATTCCTCTTTTTTACTTTGCATATCTAATATATCAGAAGTTCTTCTATGTCTGCATATGTAGTATATCCAAAATCTGACCACTTCTTAGCACTTCTTCCACTTTCAGACTAATTCAACCTTCCATCATCCTCGGTCAAAACCTCCCAACAGGTCTCTGTGATTCTGTTTTACCTAATTATAGTCTGTCTCCCCAGGCCTTTCAGAACCCTCCTTTCAAAGCACAAATGAGGTTTGCTCTTTTTCCTGCTTAAAACCCCTCTAGAACATTCTAACAAACAGAATAAAATGAACATTTTCTAAGGTTCTACATGATCTGGGCATTGCCTACATCACTGCCCTCTTCTTTCAGTGTGCCTGGCCGTCTCATCTTCGTGTATCTTGAGCAGGACACACTTGCCCCTCGATTGAAGACCTTTGTGCTCGATGACCTCTATGCCTAGAAGACTCCCCTTGAGTATTCCATACCTCACTCCATATTGTTCCAGCCTTTGTTCTGGTGCTGTTCACAGATTCCACATAAGGTTCAGCCAGCCAAACCCAAGCCAGATCTGTCGTTTTCAAGACTGAATATTTATAGAAGCAAACCGCTCCTGTGGAGCAGCTGCTGAGTTTGCACTGCTCACCGCTTTACCCACTGCACCACCAGGGTTCCTTTTTGTGATTGACAAGCAAGGGAGTAGAAGACACATGGCAGACCTTGTATACATGTGTTTTCCAGCAGATGGCAGTAAAGTGTCTTGAAGAACATCTTTTTTGGTAATTTTTTCCCCCCCAAAGTGCCCTGTGGGCTATCATTGACCCTGGAATTGTGAACTGTTTGTCCGTGGCCTCCCTATCAGAAACACCTCTTTACCTTCTAGTTTCTTTTGCTCACCTTACACTCAAACTCCAGGCTCCCTGTCAATGAGTCTATTCCGATTCACAGCGACCTTCTAGGGCAGGGTAGCACTGCCCCTGTGTGTTTTCAAGATGGTAACTTTATGGGACTAGAAAGCCTCCGCTATCTCCCGAGGAGCAGCTAGTTGTTTTGAACTGGTGACCTTGAGGTTAGCTGCCCAGCGATCTTGAGGTTAGCTGCCCGGCGATAACCTCTCACCCTCAAAAGTCATCGCCTCTTTAGTCATATTTCTATAGCTTCTTTAGCCACATTTGGTGTGAAGTAGGAGCCCTGATGGTGTAGTGGGTTATGTGTTGGGCTGTTAACTGCAAGGTCAGCAGTTCAAAACCACTATCTGCCTCACTGAAAAAAAGTGAGGCTCTCTACTCCTGTAAATAGATGTAGTCTCAGAAACCCACAGGGGCAGTTCTGTGTCCAGGAGCATCACTGTGAGTTGGAATTGACTTGATTGGCACTGAGTTGGAAGGGTCTTTGGTTTTCAGTTGAGTCATCCATTTTGCAGTATTCTTGATCATGGGATTCTCCCTGCCTCAACTGTGAAAAACTTTGG